GGGAGGGAGAGAGAGAGAGGAGGGGAGGGGGAGAGAAAGAGATAGGAGGAGGGGAGGGGGAGAGGGAGAATAGACTCAGAGCTGTAGGGGAGATCTTCCAAAATGAAGGTGGAAAAGGAAAGTGGCCCATGAAAGAGCATCAAGAGCAATGGGCTTCACAGAAGGTAACTGGGCAACTAAGCTGAGGGAGGATTTACAGATACTGAATAGGAGTAAAGTTAAGGGCACGATAGCTGTGGAAAGCTTACAAGAGCCCAGCTACAGAGCCAATAAAGCAGTTAAAAAATCAGCTTATGTGTGTGTGTCATTCATCTGTGTATCCGAGATAGCTGCTGAGTGTCGGCGTGCACCTGCGACCAGCCAGGAGCACAAAGCAGAGTAGCCGAAACTCCCACAACAGAGGCCAGCTTGGTATGTGGTAAGTTCCAAGCCATCGTGGACTGAATAATGTTAGCATTCTGTCTAAGCACCGCCCCACAGTTACCTGGCAACAGCCAGGTAGGCCTGACCCACTCACTATAAAAGGGGCTGCTTGCCCCCTCCTTGCTCTCTCTTGCCCTCTCTTGTTTCTCTTGCTTTTTCTCTGCTTCCCTTCCTCCTTCTCTCCCTATTCCCTAACCCCCCTCTCTCCTCGTGCTCATGCCCGGCCTCTACTCCTCTACTTCTCTTCCCTTCCCCGTTCTCTCTTTCCCCTTCTCCCCCCATCCCCCCCCCCGCCTTTCTCCACCTCTACTATCCTCTTAACTCCGCTCCCCATGCCCTGAATAAACTCTGTTCTATACCATCGTGTGGCTGGTCCCTCAGGGGGAAGGGATGCCTCAGCATGGGCCTGCTGAGACACCCCCTTTTCCAATACCTTACCACACCTCCATAGAACATATCTCTCTTCTCTTTATCTTGTTATAAACATATCATATAGAGTATAACATCATGTTTCAAATGTGAATAAAACCCCACCTTCATATATCATCCATACTAGGAAGGACTATTTAGAAGCAAATACTGTGGGATACTTTCTTCCATACTTCGTCCAAGCATTTATCTTAGTTCAGTCCACAAATGACAATGATGAACTTCTCTAGAAGAGGCTTACCTAGAAGAATCCTCCCTGATGAGCTCTGCCTGGATGTCTCTTATATTTAGCTTGTCCTGGTACATTTTCTCTAATTTCGCCATGGTTTCTACATGGGCAGCCTTCAGGTCTTTGAGTTTCCTGAAATACTCTTCATCAGAGTGGTAAATATCAGAGAAGCTCATAGTGTCCTCGAATGTCACCTCTTCGTCCTTCCCAGGAAAGCTGTGACAACCTGCCTGAGGGGAAGAGAACCCTGTTATCTGCTGTTTGAAATTAAATAACAAATTGACACTGATCCAAATGCTGATTCTTACAGAATCACTATGTAGCCTAGGCTGGCCTCAAACTCCGTATGTAGACTAGGTTAGCCCTGAACTAGTGATCTGCCTGCCTCTGCCTCCTGATCCCTGAAATCAAAGGCGTGTACAGCCATGGTCAGGTTCCTAGATAACTGACAGTTGCTATTCATGTGATGTTACTGACTACCGCAGAAGGCAGAATAGAACTCAGCTACAACGATTTTGACAGGAAGCCTCTTCTGAGGTATGCAGTTTTTGTTTGTTTGTTTGTTTGTTTGTTTGTCTGTTTTGCTGTGAGATGAGCAGCTGCTGCTCCTGTGCCCAGAGCCAGCTCCTGAGGGACTTCTGCCTCAGGGCTCCAAGGGTGTGCAGTGGACAGGGGGCAGGAATGGGACCCAGGGTCAGAGTTCTCAGTGGTTCTCCAGGGAGCCCAGTTGGATGATCTTGGAGGGGCAAAGGACACAGGTGAGGGCAGAGGAGAGTCGCTGCTGTGGGCCGCAAGATGAGTGATGTCCACAGGTGGCAGACACTTAGGGCATGAGAAGAGAGCATGGAGTTGTGTGTGGCTGGAGCTCCACACACCTCAGGACTGGACCTTCTGATTGGCCTTCCTCTCCCCCACTACCCATCTTTCCCTTCTTCTAACTGACTCAACTAAGGAGAGAAAAACCTCAGTTTCTAGAGATGGAGAAGTTGCTTAATTCTCAAGTGTTTGCTATGCAAGCACAAAAAGCTGAGTTCAATTCCCAGAACCCATGTTTTTTGTTTTTGTTTTTAAAAAGCCAGACATGGTAACATAAATTTGTAATCCCACCACTGGGGATGTGGGGACAGGCGGGTCCCTGAAGCCAAGTCAGTGAGACCCTTCCTCAAATAACAGCAAACAGCAGCACCGAAGAATGCCATAGCATAAAGGCCTCTGTGCATGTGTGTACACACACACACTCACACACACACTCACATACACACACACACTCACACACACAGGTATGTGCACCTAAACATACACATACTCACACACACAGGTATGTGCACCTAAACATACACATAACACACCCCAGACTCCTTACTTTACTTATAAATATAATTTTTAATGTTCTCAGTTGACAAATTTTAGATTATGTATGATACCATATATAAAGGGCCACCAACCATGATTTTAAATTTAGCCTACTACCTTGAACACACTCAAAACCAAACAAAGTATATTCCCAAGTTAGATTCATAATAATCTCAGAAAATAAGTCTGATTAACCTTTCCAATAGGAAAATTCAGAAGAGTCCATTATAAATAATAGTTTGGGCTGGAGAAGTATCTCAGTTGTTAAGTATTTGCCTATTATGTACCAGGCTCTGGGTTGATTCTGCACATCAGGAAAGGAGGGGATGGATAGATAAATAGATGGATAGACAGATGTATATTTTTTAACTATGTGCATACATGTATAAATGGGAGAGTGCAAGTGCCATGGAGTCCAGAAGTGGGTGTTCAATTCCCTGGAACTGTAATTATGGATAGTTTTAAGTTGTCCAGTGTGGGTCCTGGTAACCAAATTCCAGTTATCTGCAAGAGCACCAAGTGTTCTTAGCCACTGTCTAGCCTTAGGCTTTTGTTGCTCTTAGAAGAAGAAGATTCTTCTGGTATTGTCTCACTTGGGATAACTTCAAGAAAACGAAAGAAAACAATTTTTCTTCAACAGAACTGATATGTAGAAACTTATCAACAACTCACAGGACCAAAGAACTAATGTATGTCACACAAGGCACATAGGAGAATTATTATTTTGATGCTTTTGCTGAGGACCCAGGTTCAGTTCTCAGCATATATACAGTGGCTCACAACAATCCATAATTCCAGTTCCAGAGGTTCCAGCACCCACTTCTGGCCTCCACAGGTACTGCACACATATGGCAAACTCACACAGACCTACATAGACAACCCATCTCCCAATAAATATACATAAACCTCAAAAAAAAAAAAAGAGTCATGGGTCACCCACCTTAATCTCAGCACTTGGGAGGCAGAAGCTGGCAGCTCGCCGAGTTCCAGGCTAACCTGGACTAGGGATTGAGTTCCTGGACGGCTGAGGTTACACAGAGAAACCCAATCTTGAAAACAAACAAATAGGCAAACAACAACAACAACAAATGAGCGGGGTCCCCGAGGTCTCTGCATTTGATTTGCTCCGTCTCTTGAGGATGCTGATGACCCAGAAGTCTGTGTAAGATACTTGCTCACTCCTCACTCAAATGCCACCTCAAAAAAGTCTTTGCTGACTGTCCTCTTTGTACCATGAGTCCTCCTCCTCTGCTTTTTAGAACTATTCAGCCACCAACTATCTACCCCATCCTGATCCCATGTATATCCATGCCTGCCCTGACTGGAGAGTCAGCTTACAAAGGAAAAAAACACTTGCTTGCTTTATGCTTTTGTGTTCCCAGCTTCTAGAAAGGTACTTGGTCAAGAAAACATGTCCAGTAAATAAATTTTTGGAATGAAAGAACATATAAGTTAGAAACTATGTAAGTTTCCACCAAAGGAAAATATCAGGCATTTCAGTTGCAAAGGTTGGACTGTATGGGAAACAGGTCACTGAAGGGCTGCACTGTGCTGAGTATTAAGGAAAAGGCCTATAATCCAACATAAATGAAAAATGAAAAACCTACACATCAGGCTGTGAATCTGTCAATGTTTTCTATTTATATGTCCTCTAGTTAAAACGGAGCAGCTTTCAGACAGAACATTCACGGCCTCAGACAGAACATCCACGGCCTCATTTGTTCTCCCAGAAAGTCTTTTCAAAGGTCCTATCTCCATTATCTACACTAAAACCAGCATGTCTCTGGCCTGGAAGAACTGTGTGAAAAGGAGAAGGAGCAGCGTGAGGAGAGCGGGCCTGGCGAGCTGAACTCACACTTGAGGATTGCACAGTGCCCAGTCCACAGTTAACACGAAACATTTCAAATAGGCCCTCCTAGTTTGTTTGTATTTTAACCTAAAACGATGAACGGCTAGGAAATAATTCCCAATTCTCATTTCACCTTCGCTCTTCGTCCCAGGACTGTCTGGTTTGCAAAACACCATGTACAATGCCACTGTTTTCCTCCTCCTTGATGTTAGGCTTTCCATGTTGTAAGTGCCACTACAGAAGAAGCTAATCTTCCTGAGAGTGGCTTGACCCACTTACGGATGTATCAGCCCCCCGAGCATCAGAGACTTAACTGGTGTCAGTACCATATGAAACTGTCTGTGTTGTATTCTACAGAGTGTATGTGATGTTCTGGGACTTTTACTAATTTATCTTCTTTTCAGTGCTGACCCTGGTAGCCCCTGGCTGTAATTCCAGCTCTCAGAAGGCAGAGACAGGATCCTGAGTTCAAGATCTGAGCTACATAGCCGGTCTGAGGCCAGCACGTGCTACCTGAGATCCTCTGGGCCAGGCATGGTGGTTCACATCTTTAATCTCAACATTTGGGAGACGGAGGTTGGCAGATCTCTATGAAGCCAGCTTCCTCTACAGAATTCCTCTTCTCCATTAGCTAGGAGGGTTACACAGTGAGACCCTGACTCCAAAGTAGAAGAAAAGAAGGACCAGGAAGCAGAGGAAGGGAAGGAAGGAAGGGTGGAAGGAAGGAAGAAAGGGAGGAAGGAGTTTTACAACGATGTTTAACGACATATGTGTACCTCAGCCCCCCGAGTACTGAGATTATAGCTGTGGGCTATTGTACCCAGATAATGTTTGAGATGTATGTATGTATGTATGTATATGTATGTGTGTATGTATGATGTATGTATGCATGTTTGTACAAGGTCTTGCTATGTTGTCCAGGCTGGTCTGGAACTCTCCACATGCTCACGGTTCTGACTCCACCTTCTAAATGCTCTAACATTAGACACTTGAAAAGAAGAATATGTTTAGTGGCTATCATCACAACTGATGTGTAGCTTTTCAAAACAATAGACAACATTTTATAACTATTGACACTAAATTAAACACTGGGCACTGTCTAGTGGCTACCTGGCCTGCTGGACACCGAGTGTTCCTTTGGGAAATGGCTCCACTGCCCCAGCAGCTGTGCCTTTGCCTGCTGGCTTCCTGTCCTCCAACTGTTCTCATAACCTTTTGTTTCTTAAGGAGAATAGAAACCACCAGAGGAACACTCGCTCTTCTCTCCACCTACAGAACTCCCCCCTGGGGACACAGTCTCTAGTCTTCGTTTTTAGGGAACTGATGAAGCATGTGACCGTTCCCCTCGCTGTTTCTCTCAGTGAGTGTGGGACCCTCTGGGCCCTTTTTCCAGTCCTCCTTCCGTGGCAGCTGAACCTCAATCTCTTATCTCTTTTGTCTATTATTTCTCTACTAAATGTTGAGGTTCACTGTTTCTCTAGATATGTGTGTGTGTATGTGTGTAAGAGAGAGTGTGTGTGTGTGAAAGAGTGTGTGTGTGTGTGTGTGTGTGAAAGAGTGTGTGAGTGTGTGTGTGTGAAAGAGTGTGTGTGTGAGTGTGTGTGTAAGAGTGTGTGTGTGTGTTTGTGTGTGTGTGAGTGTATGTGTGTGTATGTGAGAGAGAGTATGTGTGTGTACTCTCGAAGACCAGAGGTCAATGACAGGCTTTTTCTCTCCTCAGTGACACAGATACAGGCCAGATTAGACCGGATTAAAAGTAGATAAAGGCGGGTTTATTAGGAGGCAGCTCTAGGGTGGGTTCATGGATCTCACAGGTGGAAGTAAGTGAGATCACACATCCAGGCCAGGGTTTTATAGTGTTTAGGTGGGGAGTGCTGCCGTGCTAGCTAGGAGCTGGGATTGTGTCCATGCATGGTCAAAAACTGAGCCCCCACACAGGCACTCTTGGGCAGGTTGTCTCAAATTCGGAGACAAGGAGTGACGACGTGTTAGCCTGAGTTTTCTCCAAGCAGACAGGGGAGTTTTCTCTAGGTTGGTGGGGTTGGCAGAAGGAGGGGCGATGGGGTTTCCCAGCTTGTGCAGGGGATGAGCAGAGGCTCCAGTCTAACATCCTATCTTAGGTGAATTCCCTAGTCACTCTCCACCTTATTTTTTGAGATAGGGCTTTCGGCAAATACTAGGAATCTGCCTATTTCTTCCCCTTCAGCACTGGGATTATAGACAAAAGCCGACACACCGGTTTGTATTTGGATGTTGGAAACCCAAACTCAGTGTATAACACAAACACTAATCTTCAGTTAGCAGGGCACTCTGGAACATAAGTACAACTATACAAAGGGACAGACCTTTCTGCCACAATGAGCCAAAGTATAAGTCAATTTCCAAGTGAAGTATTCAAGCTGGCAGTTGTTATAATTACTACTAATTCATGTAAATTACTCTAGAAATGATACCCATTCTCTCCTTCGGTTCTTAATAACAACTGAATGAGGAAAATGGAGACAATTATAGTCCTTTCATAGACAAAGAAACAGAAGTTATGTCCTAAAATCACCTAGCAAGTAGGAGAAAATGGATTCTGATCCAGGATCCAAATCCTTCCCTCCACTCTAGGACGTTGGCCTTATGTAACCTATGATAGATTGTGTTGAATGAGTCTGAACCTCACTGATGGTCAGGGTATGCTTTACTCTACATAACCTTGAAAGATTTGCACAGGCCAGGCATGGTGCCTCATACTCTTAATCCCGGTATTTGGAAGATGGAGGCAGGAGGATCATGAGTTTAATGTCATCCTTAGCCACAAATAGCAAGTTTGAGGAAATCCTGGACCAAAGGAGACCCTGTCTAATATAAGACAAACAAACAAACAACAAGCCAAGGGTGTAGCTGTTGGTACAGCACTTGCCTAGCAAGCACAAGCCCTTCAGCCCACCCCAACACTGCTAAGAAACGAAGTGTGGGGGCGTGCATGCCTGTCCTGGTGCCCTGGTGCTTTACACCAGCAGAGTGCTGGCTTAAGTTCAAGGTTCCCAACTTTTAAAGTGAATAATAAATATATTTCCATATATATGGAAAAGAAGTAGAGAGAACAGAAGAAGACTGTGCCATTCTGCTAGAAACACATTCAGGACATAATACTGAAAATGCTTTGTGAAAAGACCTCACTGCATCCGTATCACCTCTTTAGGAAACTTGGCGATTTGTTTATCTGGATGTTTTTCTATATCTATGGAGCATCTGTCCATTGAACTTCAAACACACTTTCCTAAGGGACCGCTAAAATCCACTACTAACCAAAACCGATAAAAGTTGTACACTTGTCAGTACAACTTATCATCTGAACTTTTATAAAAACTACGGGCACATCAGTTTTCCTCAAGGGAAAAAACAAAAATAAAAAATAAAAATTAAAAAAAATCAAAGAACTAAAGAATTATTTATTCCCAAAATATGCTGGAAACTAAATAGGGAGTTCTGTTCTTTGCACACTCTAGAAATAGCTATAAAAATGCTCTCCAAGAAAGTTTTGCAGCAATCCTTAGTTGGGGCAGAGGGCAGGGAGGGTCTGCAGAGGACACTGCATTTCCACCCATCCTGCTAGTGAAGACCACGACAGCCCTCAGACCCTTCCGGGCTCCCACATTACCGACGGCCGCATCTGCCACATCCCTTTCTTCTGTTCCTCCTCCATGGCCGCCGACAACGCCACTTCTACCAAGGACTCTAAGGAGTCTTCGCGTTCGTACTGAGCGACCCTAGCTCCAGTGATGGGATTTGCTGGCAGGTGGAGGCTGGCAGCCCCCAGTCTGGCCTCCTGGTGCAGCGATGCCATCGCCCCGCCTCCGAGCCCGAGCGCCCGCGCCGGCCCGGGGCGGGTGAGCAGTCGCCGCCGCCTACCTCGCAGATCTTGGCTTGGGGCGAGAGGTTACTAGGGGCTCGGTTACTAGGGACGCTACAGGAGGTGGCGAAGGACCATAACGCACGCAACGTCCTTTCTCATTGTCACAAATGCGAGCCCCGAGTCCAGCTAAGGTCTAATCATGGTTTCAGATATTGCGGTTTAACGGGACATTCTAGAAGCATAACTATCTGAAGCATACCTATCTGAAGCTACACAAATGACTACCATAGCAAGCTAAAGTAAAACGCGATCTTCAAGCGAGTTGCTCAATGGGAGCGAGTTGCGCCGGGACAATTACTGATTCACTTGAACACCCAGGTCCCCGGCTAGGGACTGAGCTTTTCTCTGGTTTCTAGCTTTATTTCGGTCTGACTATCTAAACTAAACAAGGACTTCTCGCGGCAATATGGACTTAGAGAAGAAAACGCGTTTTTACTAACTAGGTCAACATATTAGGGTACAGAGGAACAGGAAGGATCGGGTGTTGGGTGACCACCCCAAGAAAAAGACAGGCTTTACAGCGCGCTATTCAACATGGCGGAGAACACGGTTCATCTCTAATTGACAAGAATCAGCACAAGTTGACCAATCAGAATGAGAATACTTATTTGTCCCGCCCTCTTTCTCTCGGCTGACCAGTAAGACACGAGACAGAGGAAGTGCCTGTCATTCGGACCAGTGAGTGATGGGGTAGCTTGTCTCGGGGTTCCGCAGCTAGTTTAGCGGCAGATTGGAGGGGGCGAGAGCTCATAGGGACCACATCCTCCCAGCTCACTCCCACCAACCTCCTGAGCGGCCTTAGGTTTTTGGCCGTTTTGATGGTCTTTCAGTGAAATCTCAGCCACCTGCGACATAACACTCTACCGAGAAGCCTAGCTAGCTCCCCTGTCCCCACCATAAGGTTCCAGTAGTTTCTACATTATGCGGCACACCTTCCACAGAACCTGTTTCTGACGCAGTCGCTAACTCCTTCCTTCCTTGTTCGCCCCTGCGAATTCCCATCACCTCACCTTCCCTGCCTTCTCTGATTTGGCTGAGCTTCCCTTTTCCAAGGCTACCTTTGGATACTGGTTAGTTCTGAAAAGCTAGGTGTAGGAAGGGAGCCATAGCCGTCCAAATGACAGAATAGTGACTTATTGACAGCCACATGCAACTAGTTCTGTGATGGGATTTGGTGTAAGCTAACTCAAAAACAAGACATATCTACAGACTGAAGCCCTGTAGGTGGATAGTTTTAGGAACATGAAATAGTAAATAAGGGGTACCAAGGACGTTCGTGTGTGCATAGAATAGGAAAGTTTCGGCTGACAGTATTCTAAATTTGCAGACATCTAATCACAGCCAAAAAAAAAAAAAAAAAAAAAAAAAGGGAGAGGAACAGAAATGGGCAGATCTGAAAGAAAATGGCATCATAGAAGTGCTTTTGCACTTTTGTATAAAATTGTAATATACAGGATAGTGAAATGAATAATTTTGAATGTATAGTTGCATGAATTCTGACAAAAATGAATACCTATGGAATCACAGGCCAGCAACACAGAGAAACTCTGTCTCAAAAACAAACGAAAAAACAAACATATATGCTAGTTGATATTTGGGTTTATATTTGAGTAAGATGAAAACAAAGCACTGAAGATGTTAGAATTGCTTGTTAGTATTAGGAGAGATTCTTGCACACACAGATAATATTCTATTAAAAGCTTAACTTCCTGTCACACTGTAAAGAACACAGAGGGTGCATACTCGCAAGCTCTTTTTCCATCAGTCTCTTAACTATCAAGTTTTTAGCATTTGCATTGGCTGATTTCAAGGTTTGATCCCTAGTTAACTGAAAAAAGAAAAATAATCTGAACAAGAAAAATTGGCATTTGTGAAAAAGGAAAATGAGGGCAAGTTCTGCCATCCAAAAACTTGGACTCTCTGTAGGTAATCTGAATGCTGATGTCCCTATTAAATCCAAAATACCCCAATGTGATGCCTATGAATTTTTAAAACCTGATAGGTACTTCTTACATATTTTCACACCTTTGAAAAAAGGGCCCGATTTTAAGGTAAGCCATATTTTGGCCTGCATAATCTGGTGCTTCATTACCTCTATATCACAGAATTCAAGAAGAAAAATGAATGTTTGAGTCTAGGGTCTTGAGATAAAGATATTTGAATCATCTAGAATTTAGCTTTTCTCTCATTTTAATTGTTAAATCTATAAAATTAAGTCATTATAAAAACAAAGTCATTATCAGGTACATCTTAGAAATTTAGGTCAAAATACTATTCAAATAATGGTTACTGGGATATTACCTATTACTACATATTTCTATCTAAAGATGTAGCTGTTTTGACAGACTTCTGCTAACCGCTGCTTATGTGAGATCTGCTGTGGTAGAAAACCCACTACCTACCTAGGATTTGATGTGGGAGGGTTTATAGCACAATAGCTAACAATCCTAACAGCTTTGTTGCAGGGATTAGAACAAGTCAGAAAGCTCACAAAGGGAGATTTGCCCTGTTAAAGCTGAAAGAAGTCATCCTGTCAAATTAAAAGGATGTAATTTAAAAGGGCTAGAAAGATATGCTTACATTTAAGTGCTATTCCTCAGCTCTCCATTATAAGGTTTCCAGGTGTTTAAGAAATGCTGTTTAGACTATATCCTGCAAGTAGATTGGATATTCAGTCAATTCTGAAACGTTTGAAGTGCCCACAGTATGCAAAATTGGAGATCTCAGGTGGTCCTCACTAGGAGGTCATATGTGGAACTTGTGCAAGGAACCTATCACCACCCAAAGGTTAGGGGCCTAACCCAACTGAGTCAGCAGTATACAAGGAACCTAGCAAAACAGAAAAGTTGTGTATCTGCTAAAATGACTAACTTGGAAAACAACTAAAGCCGTGGAAGAGCTGCACGGACATTTATGAAGGGGTTATTACAAAGTGGCAGAGATCATCGTGCACAGATACACACTAGGGAAACCTCCAGTGTTACCCAGGGTTGTTTCCCTCAAAGGGAGACATGTATAACCTATTTTCTGCCCAGAAGGCTGGAAGTAGATATGGGTAACACAACCTGGTGACCTCTGTACTATGTGGCCAGAATCACACTGGATCCTCCCCCAGAGGATCAATACAGAATCCATCTTCATGGAAGGTACCATGTGTACTTTACAGAGTTTTAAGATTCTAGACTTTATTATGCACATGTGATTATCTCCAGGAAAATTTCGCTCAATTGTTCTGTACTTAAATATGCCTAAAAAACCTACCTAGTTTCAGACTCCCAAAGTGTGACCCAACACTAGCTCCCGAGTCCTGTTGAACGAAACTGCTTTCTTACCTCCCAGTGTTGCTCTGCTGGCTATGGCTGCAGAGCTCTGCAGTACCAGACATTGATCCGTCCTTTAGATTACCTATTTGGATTTGTGGGTATGCATTCTATTTTAGCTTCATTGAACTACGTGCAGTACTCTTTACTTGTGAGGAAATGACAAAGGGGAGATAACATTTCTCATACATTGACTAAAACTTGTCAAATTGTTTGCTTTGGAACATATTAAAGTATGCCAGGGCTTCAATCTCTTTCAAGTTCTCATGATAAAGTCTACAAGCCCCTTCTGGGAAATCTGCATCATCAAAGAGAACTGAAACCACTGACCCTTTTTGGACAGTGGAGCCCCTTGGTTACCTGAAGGCCCTGCTAAGTTGAAATTTACAATCACGGTGAGACATGACTATGTGTGAAACATAGTGGTTGGCAATAAAAAGCTAAGCCCATCTGACTCTGCAAAAGGTGCCACACTGCACAGGCTTGTTTTTTAGATTCTGGAGACTGAACATGAAAACGAACTTAAACTCTCTACCACTGGGCCATCCCCTCCACCAGAATACTCTATAGGAATCCCAACTAGCACTACTCTTGAGAAAGACTGATGGGTTATGACAGGCTTCTTTTATATTACTTTAAAATCAAACATTACGCTTTGAAGCTTTCTATGGGTAGGAGTATTTACGGATGAGCTCTTTCCCATTGTCTCCTAGTGGTGACCAAACTCAGCTGGTGGTGGTTTGAGTGACTTATAAAGCATGGCCTTCTAATGTCACTGGGGCAGGCAGGCTTTAAGAGTATAAAGGCTGCACCATTGGAGTTCTGTTTTGTGCTTGTGGTTCAAAATGCAAGCCTTACCCTTCCTTGTCTCCTGGTTTGTCACCACGGACTCTTAACCCTCTGGAATTATAAGCCCAAATAAATTCTTTCCACAAATTGCCTTGGTTATGGTGTTTTATCACAATAGAAAAGTAACCAACACAGTATTTGTGTGATAAAGGACCACCATTTTTTTCTTCTGAGACAGGGTCTCACTATGAATAACCCTGACTGGCCTGGAACCTGCAGAAACCCACATGCCTCTGCCACCTGAGTGCTGGGATTAAAGGTGTACACTACCATACCCTGCTATTAAGACAAATCAAAATAAAAAACTTACAACGAGGGGTCAAGATAGCCTGACAAGTTGAGTTTGATCCCTGAAACCCACAAGGTGAAGAAGAGAACTGACTTGTTCCCAATTTGTCTTATTTCCATGTACCATATCATGTACATTCCTTCCCAGCATACAAACAAAATACAAGGAGATTATAAAAACCTTACATCTGGTACACATCTGTAATCTCAGCATTTGTTTAAGGCTGACAAGGGAGGATCAGTGAGATAATCCTCAGTGACACAATCAATTCCAGGCCCAGCTACATGAGACACAATCTTAGAAATAAGACAACCAACCAGGGTAGGGGAGGTGGCTCTTTTGGTAGAATGCTTGTCTAGTATGCCTGAAGTCCTGGGTTTCAATCCCAAGAACTGTACAAATCAGGCATCACAGTGCACATCTGTTAATTCTAGCACTTGAAAGGTGGAGGCAGATCAAACATTCAAGGTCAG